CATTAAAAAAGTGAGGGTGGGGCTCTAATTTTGAGCCATGGACATGTTAGGTCATTTTTGACCCTGTCTAGGCAAATGGGTGCCAAAACACCTGCTCTGGCCCAAATTTTGCCCATATTTTAGCTCTCGGGTAGGTTTTAGGTCAAGCCTGATCCACCAGAGTGAAAAAATAGGGGGGACAACATTTGTTCTTGAGCACTTTGTGGATGCTCACCTATGCGCCATTTGCCAGGCAAAAGTGGTGCAAACTGAGAAGCCAGGCAAGCACTGTTCTTGGCCCCCACCTGAGTATGAGGACTTGTCCAGCATATTTTCCAGGCATTTTCTGCCAGTTTTGGTGGCCCAGGAGTGGGTGTGCGCGTCCCTGGGGCTCGGTCAAAGCGCCAGCTGTCATGAAATTTCAAAAGCCATCTCCTTTTCATTCCCAGCCTGCCACCCTTTGAAAACCAGGTAGATGCACTTCTCTGCTAAAAGAGCACTGGAAACTCTTGTAGGACCTCACCTGGTTCAAGCATGGCTCATGAGTTTTTTAGGAATAATAATCAAAGCGGTCGACCAAAATCGGGGTGCCAAGGAGCGATTTTCTGGACCCCGGCCCCAGCCCCCCGGGCCCCATGGAATGTGCTCTTGATGAAGTGCTTAGCCATCACTGCTGGTCAGGTAAGCTGGGTAGGGGCTTCCTGACTCAGGAGTGAGGACCCCATTCTGGCAGGGATTTTGCCTAATTTCTGGCCCCCATCCTGGGTCACCCCCCAGGACAAACTGAGTATGCAGGGTTGCTCAGAAGGGTCAAGTTTAAGGTCCTGCATACTCAGAATTAGCAGGCTGCAGCTGGGCATTAACTCAAACCTACTTGGCTAACCTGACTTTGAGCTCTCAGAAGAGAGCCTAGGAAGCACATTTTTTGGATGTCGACTCAGAGCGCGAAGCCTTTGCTTTGCATGCAAGGAAATGCATTGTGCACCTTTTCCTTAGATTCAAGGATTCCTGTTGATTTGCCATGGAACTCCTGAAAGAGCCCACCGTGACCTTCATTTACTTGCTGGCGCTACTTTAAATGAGTCCCAGGAGGTGGCTGCACTTGAACGACATACATGATACCTCCTTCTGCTTTGTGCTCGGTCTCACCGTCCCAGAAGGGCTTCTCAGAGTGCTCATGTGTTTCTCCTACCGCATCTACTATGTAGATGGGGAACATCTACTATAGTTCCCCAGTGCCATATTATTCTTTTGTAGCTTGCTGCCCTGAAATCCTTTCAGGGATCCTTCAGATGGTTTCATCCAAGCTTGTGAGTGTGGCTTGAGGAAAACAAACATGAATGCCAGCCTTCCCTTATAATTCAAGTATGCATGGAACTTTGCATGAGCATGTGCTTTCTGGCTGTTGCTGCAGTCCCTCCCATATCATGAAACATTGCAATAGGTTTGTTTGGAGATTCGAGTAAACTCTTTGCCAAACATCATGCAAATCTGCATCTGACCATTTCTCTCCTTACACTTGGTGTCTGAATATCTGGAGTTTTGAGTCAAACATATGAGCATTCCGGTGAAGACGTATTGTGCCATTTTCTCAGTGCTTACTTGCAGAACCTTAGCTTTCCGTGGTATTTTGCGCGCTTGTTCCTCAACAGTTGGCGTTTCTGTTCACTCTTTTTTTGAAGGCTTTCATAGTTTCAAGTGTGTTTCCGCTCAGCTGCCCTTGTAGGCGGATATAGCGATGTAACCTCAAGCTCTCTTCGCTCCCTGAATGCTGCATTGTTTCTGCAACATCCAGTGGGCGCTTTTCCACAAGCTTAACACCTTTTACTATCACTTTTTCCAAATTGTAAGCAGTCATGCATTTCGAATGATGGCTTCATATGTAACACCTGTGTTGTATCAGCTGCAGAAGTGATTCTGTGTCTTCTAAGCTGAAAACGCGGTGGTCAGATTCTGACGGGTCAGAAATTATCTGTGTCAACTCTTTGAGTGCACTCATGAAGTTAGTCAGGAACCAACCTATCTGGTTACAAGGACGTCTACTGATCCTTAGTCCTTTAAGTGTCACGCATGTCATGGATGCGGTCACTTTGTCCAGTCAGTGGTATCCAATCGTTCCAACAGTTTTGTGTCTTCAACTTTTGCCCCATATGCGCCGGTCTTCCAAAGTAGAGGTGCAAATGAGCTGGCCTTCTGTTCTGAAACTGCAAACTGTAGTCAAGTACCATAACAGACGATATCAGAAGGACTGGTACCAAGCATTCGCGTCTTGACATCTTACCACATGATGTACTTGCGGTAGTCAGACTAGTCCAGCCAAACTCTTTTGATGAATTGAGCGCTTGCATTTTAAATACATCACCTGAAAACAAAAAAAATCACAGTCGACTTCAATGGCAGGCAACAACTTAATCTCGCAGGGCTTGGACACTGGTCGCATTGTACACACGCCAGATGGTCTCGCCCAACAAGTTAGCCACACTCAAAATTGTCAGCTCGGGGAAAATATTCTCCTGCAAAAACAAATTGATAAAGCATGCTCATGTCAGGAATGTGCGCGCACTTGAGAGCAAACACGAGTCTTGAATTGCTGTCACGACTGCACTGATCTATGTGGTACAAACTCAAAAAGATCAGACAATATTGAGAGCCCAGACAGCAACAACTCCATCTAAACCCTTGGCAAACATTTAACTTGCTTATGTACAAAATGTGTTAGTGTGAGTACTGTGTGTATGGAAATGTTAATGGTGTACATGTACATATGTATAGAATATATATAGGTAGTGTACGTTTAGTATATGAATGTATATGTGTATGTATATGACACATAGTATTTGTGAAAGTAAAGTGTGCATGTATCCGCATACATTCAGAGTATCGTAGGTTCACGATTACTTCGTACCAAGGTGTTAACTCTTTTTGGTCCGTACCGGTTCGTACTAGTTCGTACCACTTCGTGTTTCGGCACCATCATTTTGTGGTGCACAAGGCAGTTCGTCCCAGTAGGCATGAGGCTGCTGGAAGGCCACTGGAAGGTCAGCTTCCGCACAGGTAACTTGCTGCTGTGGCCTTGACAGGGCATCAGGGCTGGCTGGGGCTTGGGTTGGTCAATCTTGGGTTGGTCAATCCTGGTGTCCTATGTGTGGCTCACATCCATTCAGACATGAACACCTCATCACAGGCTTGGGCTTAGTGGATGGGCTTGCTCTTGTCTAATCCACTGCTTGCATGGCTACAGCAGGAGGCTGGGCCAATGGTGCATTGCCAGCAGTTGTCCACCTCTTGCTGCCCACCTCCTGCTGCAGATGTGCCATGTTCCTCAACTCCTACCACTTTCAACAATTTTCATCAATTTGCACTTCATTCTCACTTCGTACCACTTCGTATTTTTGGCCAGGGATTATTTCTTTCACTTCGTAGGATTTCGTTTTTGGGCAAAATAATTAATTAATTTACGAAGTGAACCTACGGTATGTGAATGTATTGTGTGTGCGTGTGCATGTGTGCGTGTGTGTGTGTGTGTGTGTGTGTGTGTGTGTGTGTGTGTGTGTGTGTGTGCGCGCGCGCGCGCGCGCATGCGCGCTCGCCAAACAAAACATTTCAGGTAGGCCAGTAGGTTATGACTTGATGCCCACCTGCAACCAGCAAATTCTGTTGCAGGATCCATGTCTGGACCCTCCAGCACGCAATTCTGCAGACTTGGACGTCTGAGGCTTCCAAGTCATCCCCTGGCTTGCCTCATCAGCAGCGATGGCTAGGTGTTTCACCACCAGCACATTCCAAGGGGCTCATGGGAGGACTGGGGTCAAGAACATTGCCATTTAGACCCCAATTAAGGCGTAGGAAGCGACAAGCTGTGGGCAAGCAGGCTGACTGAAGCCAAAAGCTTGGGGTAAATGCCCAGCTTTCCCTGCTTGCCAAGAGCCGCACCTGAGCCCCAAACGTGTAAGCCATACACACATGATTTTGGGAGTAAATTCGGGACCACATTTTGCTTCCCCTCCATTTACACCTTGGTCCCTATTAAGGACTGTGTGAGAGCCAAGAGCTACCTAAGAACCGGGAGGGTCACCTTTGAAAAGTAATGGGCGTTGTGCCATTTTTTTGGTATAACTGACCCTGGTTTTTCTTTCCCCCTTTTCAAGTGTCTTAATCTAGACATGAAATGCCTCAAAATGTGCACCTGACACACTTTAGGCTTCGCCCGAGCTACCTGATATTAGAGTGTCAAATAAGCCACCTTCAATCCTACCACTTTGTTTTGTTTGCCCAAAATCGCTCAGGACAGAACTCCTCACTTTTACAAATGCTCATCTGACTTCATTAAAAACACTGCCCCCCATGCATTCAGTATTCCGCCCCCAACGCAAATTTGTACATTCCCCCATGCTGCACCCACTCCCAAATTAGTTGTTTGCTCACCACACTTGCACTGTGTCATGAGCTCCCTTATTAATCCTTACAATTCCAGAGGTGGACAACTGCCCCCCAAAACAGGCATGTCCTCTGGATGCTCCTGTACGATGCACTGAAACCTGGGAAACTCCAGTGATTGATTGTGATGCACCTGTCTCCAGAACTCACTAGTCCCCATTTGTGCTACAGACACTTGGGAGTCCTAGCACACAGCTGTGCATGTCACTGTACAATTGTGCACATGTTCTGCAGAGCCCTTTCCGGTTATACCTGCCGGCTGACAGGCAAGACACCACAACTCTGCATGCTTGTTCCTGTGCCCCCCTCTTTCTTTGTTCTTGCGAGGCTCTCCAGCTCTTTCATCCACGTCCTATCCTGATGCCCCAGACACATCACAATGCTAGCCATCAATATACACAGTCTAGGTCACCATGTACAAATAAATTTGCCATCCATTGCATGGCCTTCACGACCTGCAAGGCTCCCCAATTCTTGAACTTGTGCCATCTGTCCATTTCACATTTCAGTGCTTGCCATCGTTTTGCATCAATCTGTTGCAAAGGTAGGTGTTTGGTAAAATTGTAGTGGTCGCAAGACCACAGGGAGGTATAGCTCAGTGGTAGAGCAGCCGCCTGCAGACACATGCCTGCACCAGGAAATGCGCTGGAAGCGGCAGGTCGTTGGTTCGAACCCGACTGCCTCCTTTCGAGTTCTCTTTAGTCCTTTTGAATTCCGGTACCCAAGGTTTATCAGTTCTTTGCAGCAATGCACATTTCATCAAGGAATGGAGAGAGGGGCAGATGCTGGCAAACAGGCTACCTGCTCAAGGGATCCCCGTTTAGCAAGCTGTCAGGGGCTTCGCCTAGGGGCTCTCAGACCTGTGCGAGACAGCAGCTTGCCTCGAAAGAGAAGGGACAGAACTGATGAGGTTCAGGAGGGTTGTCTGCTTTTTTAACCTTGGGCGCCTAGACTCTTCTATTGTCCACTGCTAATTTGTGGGCACCCTGTGGCGCTGGGGTGACTGAGGCCAATGTCGAGTGCACTGCAAGGCATGGCTTTCCTTGGTTGGAAGGCTGACTGTGCTGACTCTGCTTGTTGTTGAAGGTCTGAAACTCCCTGTCTTCCAGTTATATCAACTTACTCTGTGTTGCTGAACCTGCCCTTTCCTTTGCTTATCATGCTTCTCTGAGCCCGAAAGGGGGCGTGTGGTCTGTGCACCAATTTGGTTTTTTAGGGACAACTGGCCAATTTGCCAAACATGATCTTCATTGCCTTTCTTTCTCAAATTTGACCATGCCAACCTTTAGTATCTAGAAAAATATTACATTCTTAAAGAAATGATTAAAAAATCGGAGGACCCCAGATCACTCTCCTGGCCTCAGATCACCCTGCATACTCAAAAATAGGGAAGGAGGTCAAAAAATGACCTTTTTGGTACTCCTCGTGGTGGGATTTCCTCTTAGAGAAATGGCTGAAATTCCGTATCTCAACAACCATTGGGTCTTTTCACTCCATTTTATTTGCAATGATTATCTTTTGGTAAAAGGACTCCACATCACTTGCAATCACTCAATTTGGTGCCCTGGGTGGTGGGATATAGAGTTTTGGCATTGAAAATAAGGCAATCCTGAACCCTGCATCAGTGTTTTTGCTGTCTCACACAGCGCAGCCGGCCCCAGTCTGTATTCTTGGGAATTCTTTAAAAAGATTGTTGTCCATACGCCCCTCAGGGAATTATTCTACCCAGGAATTCTGCAGAAGAAAAGGGGTTTCCACACTTGCGCATATTCCTGCAAGCTTCCCATCGTACTGACCCCTAAATATAAATCATTTGGTCCCAGAAATGATAGAAAACCTTTTGTGTTCAGTAATCAGAATGGTCCGCACCACGTTTTCAACTCTGACAGACCGCTGGAAAGAGGTCCTGAGGGTCTCCCATATGCTACTCATGAAGCATTCAGGTAGATGGTCTGCTTTTCATGAGCAGCCGGCCACATTTCCGATGCCAAAGACTGAGGGCCCAGTGCGTGCGTGCTGTAATTATTCCTTACGTTCATAGGTAGCAAAAAAAAAATCGTACGCACCGGTGCTATGGGGATGGTGTTGGTGACAATGACCTCTTCGAACACGCCACTGCTGAGCCGCTCGATGGCTGGTGGGGAAAACACTGGGTGCGTTGTGCACGCGTACACTTCACGAGCCCCCTCCTGCTCAGGAAAAGCAGACAGCAGGACACAGCAGGCAGATGAGCATCTATGCCACCAGACGCACAGTTGGACACACATCCTGGTGCTCAGTGCACACGTCTCAGATACGAAATGGGGCAGGGCGTTCATGAATTATTCCACATGGTAAGGGCCAAGAAGAGATGCGCCTCTTTAGAGTCAGTGGCAGCAAAGCATTGCCCCATGGCTTGCCCTTGATGGCTAGCTCTACTGCACAGGTTAGCACTCTCCTGGCTTTTCCCTTTTTTTGCCTCTTCAACATTTTCGAATTGGATCTGTTGAACTGTGGGCGAAGCGCACGTGAGAATGGGCTTGAGACGAACCATCACTCATTTGAAGGGTTGCGTAAAGAGGGTTGGGAAATTGGCAAAAGGCTGCAAGGAGGGCTACAGAGGACCCAAAGGGGCTCTTCCACCCTCTTTGGTCAAAACCTGAACCCTGTTTACCCAATCCTACTCTTTCTTCTTACCATCACGTGCAACGCATATGTGCATTGCGGGGCACAAACCTGGCGCAAGACCTTGGCTGCCTGGGAAATGGTGCCTGCAGTGTCGATCATGTCGTCTACCAGCACGGCCACCTTGCCCCTCACGTCACCGATCACGTTCATGACCTCAGACATGTTGTGCCCGCTGCGCCGCTTGTCCACGATTGCCAGCGGCGCGTCGTTTAGTTTCTTCGCAAAGCCTCGAGCACTGCGAGAACAGCAGCAGTATTGCACTGCACAGTGAGCTGTGCTGACAGCATGCAGAGAAAATGCTACAGGCCAGGCCCTTCGAAAGCACCCGCCCCCCCCCCCCCCCCCCCTCTACAAGTGCCCTGAGTTCATGGTTCTTCTTATGTATTCTTGCCAGAAGACTCTGATTCATCATTGGCCAAAACCTTAGGCAAAGAGTATGGATGTTGGATGCTGGCTAGTTTGCGCCCTGCTGTACTGCCTGATGCTTGAGCTGATGCATCATGCAAGAAAGGCATGCCTGCATCCTCGCTCATCAACCACACAGGAGGCCCTTAGCTCTGTACAGTTCCACTCACAGTCCAACATCCACCTTCAACCGCGTCTGGAGGGGCTACCGGGGCCTCACCCCACAAACTCAAACAAGCCTTTCTGATCCAATCTGGCAGTCTTGCTGGGCAGGGCTATTTTATGCAATTCTCTGCTCCCCTCCCTCACCGTGCCACACCGCCGACATCTGGTGACACCACCGCCAGGTCCCCTGTCTGGATGCGCTTGGAGGCCAAGTAGTCCAAGATCACGCTCTGCAGGCACAGCACAGCACAGCACAGCACAGCAGGAAGTGTGAGCTATGCGCAGACCAGCCAATAAGCAAGCAGTGCAAGGAATGTAGTGGCAGGCGAGGATGATCGGGCAAGTGGTATGCAAAGCCGCGTGGACTGCTCAAGCCGCTAGGGTACGCAAGCAAGTACACTTCTCACTGGAGAGACTGGCAAATGGCAGTCCCCTACCGAATAGCACAAGTAAGAGCATGGGATGCAGCAGCCCCGCTGAGCTTGAGACCAGTGTTTCTCAAGAGCGCAAGCACACTCCACACTCGAGACACATGCAATTCCTCCCCCCCCACCCCACCCCTCCTGCCTCGCAGTATCAGGATCATCTGATGCTGTCCAGCAGTCCCGTCAAGCCCATTACGAAGTGTGTTTCTCGAGAGCACCCCGAAAGAACATACCACAACAGAAAGCATAATGCAGTTTTCCACTTGATCACCAAGCAGGGCATCACTGAGCATCCTGTGACAAAAAAAAACTTAAAGTACCTCATGCAATCGTTGATGAACTCCTCAAACAACAATTGTTTGTGTTTGATGAAATTGTCAAGGGGTTTGACTTTGTCCCAGCCAAATTTAAAGCCTGCCTCCACTCCAGCAGCAGCAGCAGCAGCAGCAGACTCAGCAGCGCCTGTTCCCCAAACAGTGCATGCAAGTACAGCTGCAGTGCCTGCATGCTCTCATTTCCTTAGTGGGGAAGGAAGGGGAGGGGGAGCAGCAGCAGGAGACAGCAGTTGTAGGAGAGGCTAATGGCTGACCTGAGGAGCAGCCTAGTGGGTTAAAATGTTCAGTGTGTTGCAAGCAGTGGGCGGCCAAGGCATCTGGAAGCAAAGCAACATGACGTGGGCGAAATTTCCTTTGGGAAGCCTGGGAAGCAACACTGGGGGTTGTAGGGAGTGGACAGCGTGTGCTGGAACGCTGGGCACAGGACAGAATCATTCAGGTGCACAAGACAGGTGCGGGTGACTTGGGCACCAAGTTGTGCCCTCTTCTCATGAGTCAGTGGCAGAATCAGCAGCAGCAACACACTTGCATGAGCAGGGCAAGAATTCAATACTTATCTTTGATGCCCATAAGTGAGAGCCTGACAAGTTCTCTTTACGGAGGGCGAAATGATTAGGTGCAAAACAGCAGGGCCCATAGCCATTGTGCTACAATCATCAGCAGCTTCACTGTAATACCACAACTTCGGAGATGATATTACATACTAGGAATGAACGTTTTTTTTTTTATATGGGATGGTAGCTTCACCTGTCTACCAGTCAGAGGAGTGCATGAGGCTGAAGGTTGACGAGGACATTCACAGTGAAGACGCAATGGATGCAAATTTCCGTTTCCTTGCCAAGGCATTACTTCCAACAATGACATGGCTGCACATCTGCCAAATTTTGGAGAAACCGAATTGTTGCCAAACAATTTTAGCCCCGTTAAATAACCTTTTGGGTGGAGCGTCCTGAGTAGTCCATCTTCTACACCTCAATATGTGAATCGCTTGCCAAGCAGCACACCTCCTGGTGATCACCTTCTTCATCATGTATGGCAAGTGCATGTACAAGGAGGAATCAAAACATTTATGATTTGGGTGCAGGGTTTTGTACGACATATTGGGAGTCCGTTACCACAGTAATACTACAGCAATATCACATTTCAGGAATAACCCCGGGGTTCCTGGGCTGGAGGGGTTTCAACCTCAGGGATTAGCTGATCATGTTCTGTGAGGTCATTTAAAACGGGAGGGAACAGACAAGAATCTTGGTACCAAAGGCATTTAGATTGCTGGCAAGCGCACTGCTTGCCCCCCTCAAGTACTCAATATTCATGAACTTGAATGCTATTCCACCAGTGATGAGCACTTCAGAAGGTACCTCTGCACACTCTTGCCCCTGCACCATCACAGTGGGCATGTAGTGCGTCACCATGCTCAGGTGCAAGCGCTCGCGCTTACCACCATGCTCCTTTTCGCCATCATCTGCTCCATCAAGCTTCTCCACCTCTGAGGGGGCTCATGCAGGAGCTACCGTGCTGTTTGGGTGTCTGCCTYTCAGAGCTGATGAGTGTGCTGCAGCCCTCTTGCACCACATGGTTTCAGCTCTCTCCATGGCAACAATGACATCCAAGAGTTCCTTCACCTTCTTTAGCTTGCTAGGCTTGTCCAGCATCTGATCTTGAGCCCTGTGGGCTTGCACTTTTTAG